GGGGCCAGGGGTGATCCCGGTGCCCCCAGAGTGCCCAGGGCCCCAGGTAAGTGCTGCATCTCCTTGCAGACCCTGGCAGAGCTGCAGATGCCCTCTCCAACGCTGTCTACGAGGAGCTGGATTACAAAGCCATGCCCGAGTACCAGGAGGTGCCCACTCCCCCAGGTGGGTGCAGCCCTTGTGCCCCAGCTGTGCCTGCAGTGAAGGCTCTGCCTGAGAGCCCCAGGGCAGCTGTGGCTCCTGGTGGCCCAGCAGGGGCTCCTGGCCATGGGCTGTGGGTGTCCCTGGGTCCCAGAGCAGCCCCACTCTGCGGTGTGAGGTTCTGTCACTGGCGGTGCCGCTTGAGGCCACCCCCAAGTCCCTGTTTATGCCCTGCAGGTTCCCTGTTGGAGGAATGGGTGAAGAAGCTGCCGTATGACACTGGGGACAGCGTGGAGGGGAGTGACACCGAGGCAGCCCCAGGTATGGCCACAGGGCAGGAGGCCAGCAGGGAAAGCTGGGGACAGGGACACACCCACGCTGGGGAGGCCTGAGGACACAAATCTCCTCTCTTACTCATATGCACTGAAAAATTATCTGTCCCTGTGGGACACAAGGGCCTCCAGCTCGTGCCGAAATGGAAAGGCTGGAGGGGGTGGCCCAGCCTGAGCCCTGCCAGGGCCGCTGGTCACTGCCATGGACCCCTGTGCTTTTCCCAGATCCCCCTGCCCGGCCCGAGCAAGGACCCCCGGATGGCTACGACGATGTCCTGGATGTGGCCCAGGAGCCCCCCACTGCCAGCACTGGGGACATCTCCGAGGGAGTGGCACGGCAGAGGTGGATCTATGTGCTGCCCACAGGTGAGAGGGCTCCCAGCTGCCCTGTCCCCTGTGCAGAGCCACTCCATGGCAGGCTTTGGCTGTGGGGGCGGGCAGGGCCCCAGCAGCAGATCCATGGCTGCTGTGGCCAGAGCCCAGGTGGGGTCTGTCAGGGGGACACGGAGCTGCCTGCCCCCTCAGGCACCTTTCTGTGCTGTCCCCAAGGTGGCATCTACTCCCCTCCAGGTCCCCCAGGAGCCACCAGGGAGCCCTCGGAACAGCCCCCTGGACACATGGACTATGATGATGTTGGCAGCAGCGCCCTGGGGACGTTGCCATGAACACGTCCTGGCCATGCCACAGCCCTGGGGACACGTGTGTGGCTGTGTGGTGGGGCCCTGTCCCCAGGGAAGGCTGGCCCTGCCCACAGAGGTCAGCCCTCGCTGTCCAGCGCTGCAGGAAAAGAGCTCCTGTGCAGGGATTATCTTTGATTTCAGTGTGATTTTCCCTTTTATCCTATTAAAACCCAAACTGGTCAGAGAGTCATTCCCAGACCAGGAACCTCATTTTGGCATGGGTACCTCTATAAAGGGTGTATCAACCATTCATTGGGGATTCAGGGTAGGAACGGGAACCACAGAGACATCCCTGGGAATGGTGGGCTGAGGGTGAATAGCCCAGGAGATTTGTGGGATTGCCGGGTCTTTATTTGTCACTGCCAAATGCATGCAACTGCTGGCAGCAACAATGAGGACAAAAGGGAGGGGACAGGACCCAGATCCTGCCCCGCAGATGCAGCAGGATCTCCTCCCTGTGCCCCGAGGGTGGGGCACATTCAGCCCACTCTCAGCACAGAGAGCCGGGCCAGGAGTGGCTCTGGTTGTTGGAAGGATGTTCCTAAAGGATGGGAGGTCTCCTGAAGGAGGGCAG